GAATTTATTAATCCCTAATCTCTGCCATTAAATACAATGAAACAAGAAAGGTAAAAAAAACAGAGCAATGTAATACAATAACACTATTAGACATTATTGTAAAAAATAAATAAAAAGTCAATCCCATGTGTTGGTGAATTTTTTTTATATTTTAAACAGGAATTCGTTTTCAAATTTAGATTTAATTTTTTCTGGTTGGGACCCCCAGACACCTAGAAGATTTGGTCCCCCCCCCCCAAATGTTCACTCCATGGCTACGGCCTTGGTCTTTACACATTCTCGATATGTGGGGAGCGGTAGTGTCGTGGTGAGCGCGCTGCGCTACGAACCCGGCGGCCCCGAGTTCGATTCCCGCTCGAACTGGCCAAAACCAGTGACGATTTTATTGGAACCGGTCCTGGGCTTCCCCTAGGTCAACTCGGCCTAAAATGAGTACCAAAGTGTGGTGTGTAAACATCGATGCTAGGAAGACAAGGCGGCCGGGCGTGGTACCGTTCCGGCCTTCATAGGTGCTCGCTAACAGCACTTGCCCCAACATTTAAGTCTATACGGGGGATCTTTGTCTTGTTTATATTATATATACATGTGTGTGTGTATATATTGCACGTATGCACAAACGTACTTGCAAATTGAACCGCATTTGCGTTTGCTCGTGATGTCAAAACACGCGTTTAAATGTGAACGTATATTTGTGTACTGTCGCAACAGTATACGGCAATAAATAGCCTTAGACACCGTTGTGAATCCACTGCTGGATGAGAGCCTCTTGTCCACCACGCCGTGGGGGGGGAGGGAGCGGCTTTTGGCCATACTTCACCACGCCGTGTCGGGGTACTCCGAATCGGTTTGGGTATTCCGCACGCCGCACCGATAGTAGAGCCGTGACCGCGAATTTGGGACCTCGGCTGGGACCCGGGGGCTCTCCTGATCGCAGCGTGAATCACGGCGCCACCGCTCCCATCACAGACTGTGTGTGCGTCCAGTGTGTGTGTGTGTGTTCCTACTGTGTGTGTGTGTTCCTACTGTGTGCGTTCCTACTGTGTGTGTGTGTGCGTGTGTTCCTACTGTGTGTGTGTGCGTGTGTTCCTACTGTGTGTGTGTGTGCGTGTGTTCCTACTGTGTGTGTGTGTGAGTGTGTTCCTACTGTGTGTGTGTGTGCGTGTGTTCCTACTGTGTGTGTGTGTTCCGTGTGTTCCTACTGTGTGTGTGTTCCGACTGTGTGTGTGTGCGTGTGTTCCTACTGTGTGTGTGTGTGCGTGTGTTCCTACTGTGTGTGTGTTTCCTACTGTGTGTGTGTGCGTGTGTTCCTACTGTGTGTGTGTGCGTGTGTTCCTACTGTGTGTGTGTGCGTGTGTTCCTACTGTGTGCGTGTGCGTGTGTTCCTACTGTGTGCGTGTGCGTGTGTTCCTACTGTGTGTGTGTGCGTGTGTTCCTACTGTGTTGTGTGTGCGTGTGTTCCTACTGTGTATGTTGTGTGTGTGCGTGTGTTCCTACTGTGTGTTTGCGTGTGTGTGCGTGTGTTCTACTGTGTGTTTGCGTGTGATTGCGTGTGATCCAACTGTGTGTTTGCGTGTGTTCCAACTGTGCGTGTGTGTTTGCGTGTGTTCCAACTGTGTGTGTGTGTTTGCGTGTGTTCCAACTGTGTGTGTGTTTGCGTGTGTTCCAACTGTGTGTGTGTGTTTGCGCGTGTTCCAACTGTGTGTGTGTTTGCGTGTGTTCCAACTGTGTGTGTGTGTGTGTTTGCGTGTGTTCCAACTGTGTGTGTGTGTGTTTGCGTGTGTTCCAACTGTGTGTGTGTGTGTTGCGTGTGTTCCAACTGTGTGTGTGTGTGTTTGCGTGTGTTCCAACTGTGTGTGTGTGTGTGTTTGCGTGTGTTCCAACTGTGTGTGTGTGTGTGTTTGCGTGTGTTCCAACTGTGTGTGTGTGTGTTTGCGTTTGTTCCAACTGTGATGTGTGTGTGTTTGCGTGTGTTCCAACTGTGTGTGTGTGTTTGCGTTTGTTCCAACTGTGGTGGTGTGTTTGCGTGTGTTCCAACTGTGTGTGTGTGTGTTTGCGTGTGTTCCAACTGTGTGTGTGTGTGTTTGCGTGTGTTCCAACTGTGGTGTGTGTGTGTTGCGTGTGTTCCAACTGTGTGTGTGTGTGTTTGCGTGTGTTCCAACTGTGGTGTTTGCGTGTGTTCCAACTGTGGTGTGTGTTTGCGTGTGTTCCAACTGTGTGTGTGTGTTTGCGTGTGTTCCAACTGTGTGTGTGTGTGTGTGTTTGCGTGTGTTCCAACTGTGTGTGTGTGTGTGTGTTTGCGTGTGTTCCAACTGTGTGTGTGTTTGCGTGTGTTCCAACTGTGTGTGTGTGTGTTTGCGTGTGTTCCAACTGTGTGTGTGTGTGTTTGCGTGTGTTCCAACTGTGTGTGTGTGTGTGTGTTTGCGTGTGTTCCAACTGTGTGTGTGTGTGTTTGCGTGTGTTCCAACTGTGTGTGTGTGTGTTTGCGTGTGTTCCAACTGTGTGTGTGTGTGTTTGCGTGTGTTCCAACTGTGTGTGTGTGTGTTTGCGTGTGTTCCAACTGTGTGTGTGTGTGTTTGCGTGTGTTCCAACTGTGTGTGTGTGTGCGTGTGTTCCAACTGTGTGTGTGTGTGTGTGTTTGCGTGTGTTCCAACTGTGTGTGTGTGTGCCTGCGTGTGTTCCAACTGTGTGTGTGCCTGTGTGCCTGCGTGTTCCTACTGTGTGTGTGCCTGTGTGCCTGCGTGTTCCTACTGTGTGTGTGTGTGCCTGTGTGCCTGCGTGTGTTCCTACTGTGTGTGTGTGCCTGTGTGTGTGCCTGTGTGTGTGTGCACGTGGTGTGCACTGTGTGGGGAGCGGTGGTGTAGTGGTTAGCGCTGCGTTATGAACCCGGCGACCCGAGTTCGATTCCCGCTCACGGCCAACACCAGTGACGATTATCTGAACCGGTTCTGGGCCCCCCCCCCTCTAGGTTGACTCAGCCTCAAATGAGTACCTGGCGCGGTGTGCAGTAAACATCGCCACTGGGGAGACAAAGGCGGTCGCGCGTGGCGCTGGCCACCCACCCCCTCGTGTACCGTGCCGGCCTTTATAGGTGCTGCTCGCTAACAGCACTTGCCCCTACAGTCTGTTAAGGCTACACGGGGGATCTTGTCTTTGTCCGTGATGTGGCGGTGGGCGCGCTGCGCTACGAACCGGGCCCCGGGTTTCGAGTCTAGCTCACGGCCAACACCACAACAGTGTGATACACGTAGAAGCTTTCGCGACCAATATCATTCATAATAATAATAAAAGGTTGTTGGTTAGATCGCGTTATTTACAAATGTGTCGTGACCCCCCTCCACCACCCGACACGGCCAATCGGTAAACGACGCGTCGCGATGACAAAATAGTTCACTACTTAGCCAAACCGGCGCGTTGAAGAGCGAATCCACAACATTACAATGTTTAAGTACGACGTTTCGCTGCTAATTACGTCCAGCATCGTAGGGCGATCGGGTTAAATGATGACGTCACGCTGCTGCTGCTCGATTTAAGACCCGGGAGCCGGTGGGAGGGGCTTAACGAATCTGGCAAATCCGCCCGATAATGCTGGATGGAATTCCCGGCGAAACGTCGTACTTAAACATTGTAAATGTTGTGGATTCGCTCTTCAACACGCCGGTGGGCTGGAGTAGTGAACTATTTGTGATTTGAAGCTTTCGCGACTGCGGGGATCCAAACTGGTTGGTTCTTCTTTGGGTAAAGAACCAACGAGTTTCGTGAACTATTTTGTCTTTCGTCAACGCGACACCATTTTTGTTTAACCGGTTGGCCGTGTCGGGTGGTGGAGGGTGTGACGCATTAATAAATAAATAAAATAGCGCGATCCTACCCGAAAACCCTTTATTATGACCACAACAGTAACGATTCATCCGGACCCGGTCCTGGCCTCCCCTAGGTCGACTCGGCCTCTAATAAGAATTCCTCGATGCGATTGTAAACATCGGCGCTGGGGAGACAAAGGCGGCCGGGCGTGGTTGGTTCCCACCCAAGCCCCTCTCGGAAACAGCCCGAAACGTCTGTTAGGCTACGGCACCTGGCTTTGTTTTAAAAGTGTAACTAACCTCTGTTAGATGCAGATTTTAAAAAAAAAAATTATTGTGCAGATGCTTAAATGATTGGCAATCGGTACGACGATGTAAATGATCGCTTCCAATAATGTACAACTTTGCGTATAGGCGCGCGCGTGTGTATATATACGTTAACTTTCTGAATTAATTTGTTTAACGCTGAATAAGAACCGTGGTTTTATTTTAAAATAAAGAGAATTCGTATTTTTTTTTGCCATCGCAAACCCCTAAGAGAGACCAGCAGTGGATATGGCTGATCACGATGGTGATGACATTGTGGCGGAGGCCTTCACCTAGCTTAGCAGTGGATAGAGCACGCTGCTGAGAGTGACTCATTCATCAATTTAAAAAAATCGATTTATAAAAATCGATTTCTAAAATTATCGAGCCAAGACCATCTGATGCTCTCCAACGAGCCCTGACATTGTTTGAGATCATCCTTGATCAAGAATGGTTTAAAGTATAAATGTATTTTTTAAATAATAGCAATATTTCAAGTGTATTTGCTATAGACGAGTGCTATTTAAGGTCATAACGAGTAGTTAAATGTGTATTGCGATGACGTCACAATGGGGCGTGCTGGACATGACGGGGGGGTTGGGCCATTCGGACCGTACCATTCATCAACGGCGGGGGGGGGGGAGATTTGTAATCTCACTTGGTCTATATATACCCACGCTTTAAACGGGCTAACACGACCACGACTCTTGATTAATTTAATAGCCTTAGTAAAATGTTAAGAGCCGAGATTTGAGTTGGGTTCGTATGGTCGTTGTTGACTTTGAAGGGCATGGGGACGAAACGTTTCCCTTTCACCCCCCCCCCCCTACTGTGGGAGACGCTCTGTGGTCTGTCCCTGATCTCAAATCCCGCGCACATGGGCATTTAAACCCCAGTGGGGGCTCGGAGCGCCACACGGTAACCACGTGTCCGCCACGACTAAAACGCCGTTGACTCGTCAATTAAAATTACCATAAGAATAAAGCCTCCCTTAATTAGCTACCAAAAAAAATGAAGACTCCTAAAATGAGGCGGTAGCTTTGCTGGGTGGTTTTTTTTAAAGTGGCCATGTTGGTGAAGAGATGAGGAGCTCCTAACATGGAATGTTTACGAAACGGGAGGTTTGGGAGTGGGGGGTAATTTGCTGCTGCATTGATGCGTAAGTTAATTGTGCACTCGTAACGTTGAATTACGGGGAGTTGATTAACCGAAGTCATTGGCTCTTCCGCTCGAATAATACAAGGATCTTCCCCGTTCCTCCTCCTCCCCCCATCTATTACACGTGGTGTGAGTGTCGCGGGATCGTGTACAGTCTTACATACGCGCATGCTTCGGGGACAAGTTGCATGGACTGCATTGTTGAAATAAGAGTGGGTGGCTTTAATTTATAGTGGTAGTGTCGGGTGCTTTGCGATAGTCTACGTAACAGCCTATAACATAGCTAATTCCACAGCCTCTGTTAGCTGCTGAGTAACCATACATCTAGTAGCGCTTCTGCGTAGCCTGCTTGCAGTAGCTAGCCCTAATTTAGGCTTACGCACAGCATGCACGGCTCTGTAGCACCCACACACACACAGCAGCAGCAGCTAAAGCTCGATGCAGTACAACCCACGTGGCCAGCACTGCTATTTATCCGATCTACGGCGCAATAGACGGTAGGCTGAACAACAACAACAGCAGCAGCAGCCAGGAAGACGTCCTGATGCATAGCAGAGCCAGTGGCAACAGCAGCAGCAGCCTTGCAGTGTAGCAGGGCAGCCCCCAGCGCCGGGTTCTCAATGCGGGAGCGGGGTTTGTGCTGCGAATGGCTGACTTCGCAGAAGCCTTCCGCACTCGAAGCCTCATCAGCAGCCTCCTCATCGGCAGCAGCAGCAGGAGAATCGTCGGCCCCCCCGTGCCTTCATCCGGAAGGGACGAAGTCGCCGCCGCCTCCGCGATGCCTTGCTTCCCAATCGGCGCCAACAGCAGCAGCAGTAACGGCGCGTCCGCCTCGACCACCGCGGCAGCTGCGGCTTCAACGTCGGCGGCCACCGCCGCCTCCTCCTCCTCCTCCGCCGCCGCCACCACCGCGGTCACCCCGGGCGACCTCGGCCTGGGCCACGCGGCCGTGGACTTTCCAGACGACGCCGAGCTTGCGACCGACGACGACGACGAAGACGACGAGCTGCCCAATTTCCTCATCACCACCATCCTCGACGTGATGTCCTCCGCGGAGGACGACATTCATAGCAGTCCTCGGCAGCGGCACGATCAGCAGCATCAGCAGCAGCATTATCAGCAGCAGCATCAGCAGTGTGGTGGTGGTGGTGGCGTCCGGGATGCGTCGTGGATTGGTGTCGAAGAGCCACCGCCACCTCCCCCCCGCTGCAGTTCGTGCGAGTCCGGAGCGCGGGCCGCCTCCGAGTGCCTCGTGTGCCGCGAGTTCCTCTGCAGCGCCTGCGTGTCCGCTCATCGGCGGGTCAAGCTGACCAAGGATCACCGCATGCAGCCCGTGCAGCAGCAGCAGCAGCAACAGCAGCAGCAGCAGGAGGTGATGATGATGGTGCCGGTTCGAGACGGGGACGAGACGTACTGCCGACAGCACGAACGAGAGGTGGGTGCCGAGTGTGTCCGTGTCTTGTGTGTGTGTGTTCTGGATAACCGTGGTATGCATCACGTATCTCTACAGAGCTCGCCTCATCGTCTATCGATAATGGTAGGTTTCTAATGTGTATGAATTATCAAGAGGTTTTAGCCATATCGACCAGAGAGGTGTTTGTTATCTTTCATCAGATGTTGAGCGTCTTTCGGTCAGATGTCATCGAATCGTCATCCGAGGTTTATCCATCTTTGAATGATCATGAGATATTTATCAAGAGTATCGATTTTACCGCCAGTTTCCTAATCAATGTTTCGGCGTCGTCATAATCACGGCCTCGTCGCCGTTATCGATAATAATATCCCCAATGATAGTCGTAACCATTGGAGTTCGATCGTAATCGGAGTTAAAATTGGCGGTCCCCTCAGAATCCGTCACATTGTCAACATCGCAGACTGAAATAAACTTCGATGGGAATATTTATAGTGGGGGAATCCGATGAGCTATAAAGCTCTCTTCAAGGACGATCGTCACATCAGCTTAACGTCAACGAGAAGGTCGCGTTGTTGTTATTGATGATGATGGTGGTGGTTGTTAAATGAACGTTGTCCACAATGTATGTTTGTCGTTCATGAATTGTGGTTATTGTAATAATCGTCTGAATGGCCATAATTATTAGTCGCCAATAAGTTTGAGCTTGAAGATTCCTGACAATTTGGGCACGTCGCCAAGATCTCTTTTTAATAAATCGTTTAAAATCTCTTAATCTTAATTACGAAACGAGCAAATTGACCATTCGCATCGTCGTTCGTGGTTCAACTTTGCTTTAATTAAGGTTCATTATCTATTAACAATGGCGTGATCTGTCATAGCTTTCGGTCCAAGTCGCGCGTTATAATTGGCAATCGATGTTTTAAGAAGTGCGTAAATAATGTTGCAATTGATTTGAATGATTGCAATCAATGTCGGTGTCTATTTTTGGTCATCGATATCACATGAGGTAAATACCGTGTTATTGGTTGTAAAACTGTGTCATTGATTACAATATTAACGTTGAGTGTATTCAACGTTAGTGTTCAATTACGTACAATCATTGTAATCAACGTTACGGAATGTAAATACTGGGTCGTAAAATAAAACTATTGTTTTTACGTAATTTTAAACTAATTTAAGGCAAAATTAATCGCGCGTTATATCGTCTTACACGCGTAAATATATTCTGCTATGTATTAACATTGTTTCTTAACACATTAACACCGTGGCAATGATTCAATATTGCAGCATTTCGATTAGTTTGCATTTTTTACCTCCTTTTCAAAAGTATTCTCAATGTATTCCTTCCCATCCCTAATCCTCGAGCCATGTGCTTATTTTTAACACGATTTGTCTTCATTGGTGATCATCAGCATTGCCCTCGGTCCATTATACGAGCTCCAATGTACCTGTAATAGTTGTAATGTTCATACAGGGGCCCATCGTGTTAATTAGAATAACTGTAATTGCCTTAATATCATTTGAGTGCTGTTTCACTACAATGGAATTAATCGTGAACCACTAACTTGACTGATTAACATCATAACACTGAAAATAGTCGTTTATAAACTTCATCGCAAATTATCACCCCAGACTCTTAATTTATAGTGCCTGGAAATAAAGGCAATGTTTAGGTGTCTAGCATATAACGGAATAATTCGAATTCACGAATAACTTTGGGTCATCGCCATGCCCATTACAATTGTTGTCCATTCATTCATAATCGAGAGTTGTTTTTGGGGGGTTGACAACATTGGTAACATCTCACCATCGTCCTCATCGTTAACATGAATGCTGTAACCGCTATTGACACCGACTTTTAATGGTAAAACATCACAGTCGCCGTGAACAAATGAACCTCATCGTCAGCGTGTTTATGAACGCTTAGCAAAAGTTGTCTACATCGCCATCTAAAACGCCACAAACATCATTTACATCACCATCATCTACATAATTTTCATCTAAAATCACAAAGACATCATCTACATCGCCATCTAAAACGCCACAAACACATCAACATCATCTACATCACCACCGCCATCATCATCACCATCATCTACATCATGTACATCATCATCATCTACATCACCATCATCTACATAACCATTCATTTGAAACATCACGGTGCTGTTGATTAAACGGTTTTGCAAATAGGAGACCGTAGATCTAATTGTGGTTAAAATAACAGGGTGTGAATTGACTACATGAGTGATGTTATGAAGCGTTATAATAATAGTTTATGATCTGTCATCGTTGAGCGGCGGTCTTTGTTGATGTTTAAGACAAAAAAAACATTACCTACAAATATACGATGACTATTGGTCAATTATATACACATTAATGTGATTACTAATTGGCTTATGTAGGCGTTAGATGGCGTAGCTTATAACTAAAAGAAACGTGTAGTGTCATTCACCCTGCACCACCCTACCAGCAACATCGCAGGCAAAGTTAAATTTCGATTTAAAGCTTTCGTGACTGCAGGGATTCATGTTCGTGGTTCTTTCGGTAAAGTCACGTATTATTTTATTCTTTCCTTTCTACGTTACTTTACCGAAAGAACCAATAAATATACATCCAAAGTTGTTAGATGTATTTAACAAACAAAAAAAACCAGCTTTTAACTATTACCACAAACGGTTTGCGTGCCTCGAAATATTTCTAACCCGGACCTTTCAATCGCATTCTTTATTAACAGCGCACGCAGTCGTATATGAAGGATATTTTATCACCCAAGTTTAAATTCCACTATTGATCCTAACACTATCGTCGGTGTTAAAAAAAAAAGATATATGTTAATGCCATAACTAATAATAATGTCTGATGAATGCAACCGCGAGACCGTCCTATAACGCAATTGAGAAAAGAAGTCTCGAAACTTGATGCTGGCTGGCTTTAGTGTTGTTGTCTGTTCGTCCACTGTTCTAATTGAAATAAAAAATAAAATAATAATTGAAGCAAAAAATAAAATAATAAAGTTATAATGTACCGGGGGGCCCGACCTTACGTGACCCCGCTCTGGAAGTCGCAACGGTTGTTTGAGGCCTCGCGAACGTTATTTTACCATCGCCGCAACAGAATTTATATTTGAATGTGTCGTACGCGAATTGCTGTGACACGTGTGTGCGCAGCCGTTGATGCTCGTGCCCCCAAAACGCGTCTTGTTAAGATTTGTCACGTAGTTTGACGATCTCAAATGAACCCTAAAAGTGACACGCACAGCAAAGAACGCGCATGCGTTGAAGTCAAATAATGTCGTTAAAACTTGCCACCACCCGACACGGCCAACCAGTAAGGATTGTGTCACGTTAACAGAACGTGGCCAATTCGTCACTAGTACAGCACTAGTGTATAGTGTAGTGTAATGTATAGTGTAGTATATTAGTACAGTACACCGGTGTGTTGGAGAGCCAAGCCACAACATTTACAATCTGAGCACGAAGTTTCTGAAGCTAAAAAAAAGAACCCTATTATCAAACAATAACGCTTAAACGTATATTTCTATTATAGGCGACGTTGCAGGCAATGGTCCTTGTTCATAGCGGATTTAAATGTGCTGTTAAATAGTTGGGGGGGGGGGGGTCATTGCCCGGAACGTCGCCACTCGGTGTTATTGTCGAAGGTTCGTTTTTCTGGTCGTGCTCTCTTCACCACGACCGCCCAGCAGTGTAGCAAGCAAGGCTGTAATTATAATAAATATGCTCAAAATGTCCCCCCCCAATATATTGCTCTAAAATAATTTGTTTATATTATTGTGGTTATGGTTGTTACTTTATTAATCCCTAATCTCTGCCATTACAATGAAACAAGAAAAGAAAAAACAGAGCAATGTGATACAGTACTCTATTAGACATTATTGTAAAAGATTCATAAAACGTCCATCCCGTGTGTTAGTGATTTATTTATATTTAGGAAGGAAATGGCAGCAAATTCGTTTTTAAATAAGAAAAAATTCTGGGGGGGCACCCCCAGACCCCCTGGAATATTTGGGTCCCCCCCCCCCTCCCCCAATGTTGACTCCATGGCTACGGCCTTGGTAGCAAGCATCGCCACCACAACCTGAAAACTTGCTTGTATTATTATCCGTACCAAAGGTTATTTATAATGCACGCAGTTGAATGACTTCATCGGTAAAAAATATATATTAAATTTCAGCATTCTGTTTATTTGGACTTTTAAAAATACCTTTCGCGATCCAATGACCAATCAAGCTGTTAAACCCATCGGGTGTGTCTTCCGGCATTAATAAACATTAACTTTTAACATTGACGGTTTTGTACAATAGATTAAGAACGCGTTAAACATTACATAACGGTATCTTATAAGTACATTCCATAATATTAAATGATATCGTTCAATTTCTTGATACTGGCGAAAGGGTGCGCGCCGTAGCTCACGTTTTCCATTAAATAAATGTTAGATGTTCTACAAATGTACTAAAATAGTGGGGTTAATTTCATTCCTTTTGAAAGGATCTACGCGTACAATCCACTGCTGGATGAGGATGTTGCTTTGACCATCACCGCCCCAGTCAGTGCCCGCGGTGGAGGGTGGTGGTGGTGGTGTAGCGAGCAGACGGGAAAGTTGGTCGTCCAAAACCGGTTTCGAGGTTAGGATCCGTTCGCGATTTTTTTTGTTTTAGCCGTGCCCCCGAAATCTGACACGAGTCATTTGCCGGACTCCCTAACCCATAGACGTGTAATCTTAATTTGTTTACTCTTGACGTAAATTGCAATGTAACCTTTACCCCCTAATGTGGGAAAACTAAACACGAATGCACGAGTTTGTGAGCGAGGGAATGCGTTAACTAACAAAACGATCCCATGGATCGCCCTGTTTCCCGCCCTGTTAACATGGATAGGAGTGACTTTCACCCCCCTCCCAAACACCAATCGCTCGCCACTCCGGTCTCGTTTAAACATTAGGCTCACGACAGAGCTCTTGGAAAATGAAAGATGTAATTTACACAAATGGTTGATGGTGAATCGGTGATTTAATTAGTCTGTTTGCGTCTTGGCATCAAGATGATGTACACGTGTGAGCGCTGCATGTTATCATCAGCCGAGCTCATCGCTAAGTGGCTATCTCTCGCTCTCTCCATGTTGAGCCACATCCTTTCATAAAAGGAGTCTGTGATCGTGGCTTTTTCATTCATTCAGCTCGGTCCAAGGTAATTTACCCAACTGGGTCGGTGTTTAGTCTATGAGCAATGTTAGTCTGTGTCCAGTGTTAGTCTGATGGCCAGTGTTATTTTATGGGCAGTTGTTAGTCTCTATCTGTGAGCCCGTGTCCTTTTGTCGGAGACGTCGGCGATCGTGGACTTGCGTCCATCCGGCTCTGGTTCGCCGCAGCTGTATTGAGAATTATAGGAGGGCAAAGAAGAACCCGCTTGTTTTTGTAAGCGCGGACGGACGCAAAGTCTCTTCCGTCACCGTTCGGCTGCCGAGGTCGGCTCCACCGACACCGACCGTCCGTCCCCCCCCCCCCCCCCCCCGTTCGTTGATCTCGACGCAGTCGGCCCCCCACCCATTGGTGATGATCGATCGACCGTCGAGAGTTTGTGCGTGCCGTGAAACCGGTTCGAGAGGAAGCCTGGACCACCGGCTCGTAACGGAGGGCGCGAGAGCTTTGTGCGTGTGTTTGTTAAACTTATTTCACACCATATTCTTGGTTCTTTCGGTAAAGTCACGTAGAAAGAACCAAGAATATGAATCCCTGCAGTCACGAAAGCCTTAAATCAAAATTGATTTCACACCGTACATAGCCGGACCGTGCTAATGTAGCCAACTAATAGGAGGTGCGGGGGAAGGACCACAAACTAAACAAAGAAAAAAAGCAGCTCTAAAGAAATGAGAGTCAATCTAGATGATGATTTAAAAGTTCCATAGCTCCAGTGGCTTACCTAACATCGTAAGGAAGAGCGTTCCGGACGGTCGTGGAAGCGCATCCGAAAGCGCCGATGGGGCGGGACCGGACCGTCTTTGTTCAATGGCTTGCACGTACCCATGTTGAACTTCTTTTCGCACCGTACATGGCCAACCGTTCTAATCGGAGGTGCTTGCTTGTGTGCTTGCTTGTGTGCTTGCTTGTGTGCTTGCTTGTGTGCTTGCTTGTGCGTGCGTGCGTGCGCCGGCCCGGCTTCGCAGGTGGCGCGCCTCTTCTGCGACACGTGCGCCGTGCCCATCTGCCGCGGCTGCACGCTGGCATGGCATGCCGGCCACAGCTTCGTGTACCTGCAGGACGCGCTGCAGGGATCGCGCGGCGCCGCCCTGCAGCTGCTGGCAGACGCTCGCCAGGAGCGCCTAACGCTGCAGGTGCGGCCCCGCTGGGCGGGGTGGGGTGGGTGGGTGGGGAGGAGACGCGAGGAGGCGTTCAAGCGGGAGTCGCCACGCGGTGCGGCCTGCGATGGTGCAGGGGATGCAAACGGGCGGAAGCGCCGAGATGTCTCTTCCCCCCCCCGCTCTCCTCCTCCGCTACCACAACCACGTTACTCTCTCATCGTGCCTTTTCTTTTTTTTTTCTTAAGCCCAGGGGCTCGGCGGTCCGCGCACGGCCGCCTACGCATGCGGCGTTTACGAGACGCCGCGAAAAAAATAAATTTGGGAGAAAGAAGAGCGGTTGCGTAATTCTACGGGGGAGAAAATGGACGGCGTGATTGTGCGTGACGTCACCTGTGTGCGTGTGTGTGTGCGTGCGTGTGTGTGCGTGCGTGTGTGTGTGCGTGCGTGTGTGTGCGTGTGCACGTGTGTGCGCGCGCGTGTGTGTGTGCGTGTGTGTGTGCATGTGCGTGCGTTCGGCACGGTGTCGGAGTGCGGTGCGCGAACCACCACACTACCGTGTGCGGGTGCGGTCGAGCACCGGTTAGCGCTACGCCGCGCCGCCAACCCCCGGCGACTCCCGAGTTCGATTCCCGCTCACGGCCGACGTCGGTGGTGGTTTTCTGAACCGGTCCTGGGCCGGGCCCCTGGTTTCGGAGTGCAAATGGTCGGCACAGCAAAGGTGGCCTGGCGTTGTGCTGGCCCACCCGCGCCACCTTGGCGTAGGCTCGGGGAGGCCTTCGCAGCTGCTCGCTTGACAGCACTTGCCCCTAACAGTTGGCGTAGGCTCGGGGAGTCGGGGAGTCGGGGGGGGGGGGGGGGGTGGGATCTTTGTCTTGGTGTCTGCCATTGGTGACCGCTGCGGTTTGTGCGGGTGCGCGCGAGGACAGATGAGCATCGAGCGGGTGCAGGCGATGGTGAAGCGGGTGGACGCCAGGATGGAGAACATCCGCTCGGAGGTGCGGGCCGTAGCCGAGCGGCACAAGAAAGCACTGGAGGAGCGCGAGGGGGAACTCCTCTACAAGGTGACGCGCGCGATGGCCACCCCACTCTCTCCGGGGCAGGGGTCGGAAACCTCCGGAGCCGCATGCGGCTCTCTGGCTGCCCCCCCCCCTTGAGGCTCTGGCTGCCCCCTTGAGGCTCTCTGGCTGCCCCCTTGAGGCTCTCTGGCTGCCCCCTTTGTGACTCTTTGGCTGCCCCCCCTTGAGGCTCTCTGGCTGCCCCCCCCCCCTTGAGGCTCTCTGGCTGCCCCCTTGAGGCTCTCTGGCTGCCCCCTTGAGGCTCTCTGGCTGCCCCCTTGAGGCTCTCTGGCTGCCCCCCCTTGTGACTCTTTGGCTGCCCCCCCTTGAGGCTCTCTGGCTGCCCCCCCTTGAGGCTCTTTGACTGCCCCTCCCCTTGAGGCTCTCTGGCTGCCCCCCCTTGTGACTCTTTGGCTGCCCCCCTTGTGACTCTTTGGCTGCCCCCTTGAGGCTCTCTGGCTGCCCCCCCCCCCCCTTGAGGCTCTCTGGCTGCCCCCTTGAGGCTCTCTGGCTGCCCCCCCCCCTTGAGGCTCTCTGGCTGCCCCCCCTTGAGGCTCTCTGGCTGCCCCCCCTTGAGGCTCTTTGGCTGCCCCCCCTTGAGGCTCTCTGGCTGCCCCCTTGAGGCTCTTTGGCTGCCCCCTTGTGACTCTCTGGCTGCCCCCCCTTGAGGCTCTCTGGCTGCCCCCTTGAGGCTCTTTGGCTGCCCCCTTCTGACTCTCTGGCTGCCCCCCCTTGAGGCTCTCTGGCTGCCCCCTTGTGGCTCTTTGGCTGCCCCCTTCTGACTCTCTGGCTGCCCCCCCTTGAGGCTCTTTGGCTGCCCCCTTGAGGCTCTTTGGCTGCCCCCTTGAGACTCTTTGGCTGCCCCCATGTGACTCTTTGGCTGCCCCCTTGAGACTCTCTGGCTGCCCCCCCCCTTGAGGCTCTCTGGCTGCCCCCCCTTGTGACTCTTTGGCTGCCCCCCCTTGAGGCTCTCTGGCTGCCCCCCCTTGAGGCTCTCTGGCTGCCCCCTTGAGACTCTCTGGCTGCCCCCCCTTGAGGCTCTTTGGCTGCCCCCTTGAGGCTCTTGGGCTGCCCCCTTGAGGCTCTTTGGCTGCCCCCTTGTGACTCTTTGGCTGCCCCCTTGAGACTCTTTGACTGCCCCCTTGAGACTCTTTGGCTGCCCCCTTGAGGCTCTTTGGCTGCCCCCTTGAGACTCTTTGGCTGCCCCCTTGAGGCTCTTTGGCTGCCCCCTTGAGGCTCTTTGGCTGCCCCCCCTTGTGACTCTTTGGCTGCCCCCCCTTGAGGCTCTTTGACTGCCCCCCCCCTTGAGGCTCTCTGGCTGCCCCTCCCCTTGAGGCTCTCTGGCTGCCCCCCCTTGTGACTCTTTGGCTGCCCCCCTTGTGACTCTTTGGCTGCCCCCTTGAGGCTCTCTGGCTGCCCCCCCCCCCTTGAGGCTCTCTGGCTGCCCCCTTGAGGCTCTCTGGCTGCCCCCCCCCTTGAGGCTCTCTGGCTGCCCCCCCCCCTTGAGGCTCTCTGGCTGCCCCCATGTGACTCTCTGGCTGCCCCCCCCTTGTGACTCTTTGGCTGCCCCCTTGAGGCTCTTTGGCTGCCCCCTTGAGACTCTTTGGCTGCCCCCTTGTGACTCTTTGGCTGCCCCCTTGAGGCTCTTTGGCTGCCCCCTTGTGACTCTTTGGCTGCCCCCTTGCGGCTCTTTGGCTGCCCCCTTGAGACTCTTTGACTGCCCCCTTGAGACTCTTTGGCTGCCCCCTTGAGGCTCTTTGGCTGCCCCCTTGAGACTCTTTGACTGCCCCCTTGTGACTCTTTGGCTGCCCCCTTGACGCTCTTTGGCTGCCCCCTTGAGGCTCTTTGGCTGCGCCCTTGAGACTCTTTGGCTGCCCCCTTGAGGCTCTTTGGCTGCCCCCTTGCGACTCTTTGGCTGCCCCCTTGTGGCTCTTTGGCTGCCCCCTTGCGGCTCTTTGGCTGCCCCCCTTGAGGCTCTTTGGCTGCCCCCTTGAGGCTCTTGGGCTGCCCCCTTGAGGCTCTTTGGCTGCCCCCTTGAGGCTCTTTGGCTGCCCCCTTGAGGCTCTTTGGCTGCCCCCTTGAGGCTCTTTGGCTGCCCCCTTGAGGCTCTTTGGCTGCCCCCCTTGTGGCTCTTTGGCTGCCCCCTTGTGGCTCTTTGGCTGCCCCCTTGAGGCTCTTTGGCTGCCCCCTTGAGGCTCTTTGGCTGCCCCCTTGAGGCTCTTTGGCTGCCCCCTTGAGGCTCTTTGGCTGCCCCCTTGAGGCTCTTTGGCTGCCCCCCTTGAGGCTCTTGGGCTTTCACCCGGGGCGACTGGCTGTCCCCTTGCGGGCAGCCGTGTAACAATAAAACCCCGTAAATTTTCCGTAAAGAAAAACTATGGCAGGGGGGGGGATGGGGGTAACTGAAATGTCTTGGTGATGACAATGTACAACAGTCAGACTGTGTATTTGTTTATAGATTGGACGCAGTTTATTCCATGGCCTGTTTTTGTTTATTTAAGTCACAACGTGTGCGCTATCGCCTGCTGTATACACCCGCTGCCGTGTTTGTGGTCAAGTCGCTCTGCGCGTTGATGCGGCTCGCAAACTTATTATGGCCGAAGACAAAAAAAAATGAAAATGGCTCTGCTTCTTTGAACGTTTGCCGACCCCCTTCTAGAGACCCATCCTCGGCGATAGTCTGTACGTACGTATGTGCGTTGAACTTATTTTGTGCACCGTACGTAGCCAACCGCACTAATCGTAGGCACGGGGGGCGGGGGGGGGCGGGGTGAGACAACAATCTTTAGCACAAGACGCAGTTCGAAAGAAATTAGTTTTCATCTTGAGTTGTTTGCTAACTTACTAATAATCTCTCCTCTCTCAGGGTCCCCACTTGGCTGGGGCAGCGGGGCCCTAATTCCCCCCCCCCTCACCCCACCTACGTACGGTCCCACTGCAGTTTTTCTGTCCCCTCCCAACGTTAGTCGGCGCATTGGCCCACCGGGCTTGCGTTTTGTCCCAATGAAAAAACTCAAAAAAACAGCGCGAAGCGTTATTATTTTGCGTCCGTCGTTCGCAAGTAAAACACGTCGTGGTCTCCTCCCTCGTTCTCTCGGGGGCGTCGCATCCGTGGCGCCGCGCCGCCGGCAGGTGGAGAAGGTCCACGTGGCGAAGCTCGGCGTGCTGGACCGGCAGGCCGAGGAGCTGCGGCAGAGCCTGGCTCGCCTGGACGGCACGCTGCTGTGCGTGCAGCGCTCGCTGGAGCAGGGCCGCGAGCTGGACGCGCTGAAGGCGCGCGAGCTGGTGCTGGTGCGCGTGCGCGAGCTGCAGGAGATGAAGCGGGCCGGGGCGCTGGCGCCGCGCGAGGACGACCGCGTCGTCTTCACGCCGCCCGACGGGGCGCTGTGCACGGCACTACGGTGAGACGTCGCCGCCGCCACGGCGGTCGCCACGGCGGCAATCGCGACGGCGGTCGCGACGGCAATCGCGACGGAAATCGCGACGGCAATCGCGACGGCAATCGCGAACGGGCGGTCGCGACGGCAATCGCGACGGCAATCGCGACGGCAATCGCGACGGCAATCGCGACGGCAATCGCGACGGCAATCGCGGTCGCGACGGTTGGAGGAGTTGCCGTAACCCGGGAGGGGGGGGGACGGTGCTTAAGACGGCTTGTCCCCCGGGGTCGTCTCGCAGTGGCGATGTTGAGTTGCCTCGCCT